TAGCAAATATTGTACTCAAGCAACAAATCTTACTTTCTCTTAAACTTGCTGACCATGACACCCATCAGGTTGCCTTAGAAAAGTTCCATTCCATTACTCAATCCCTGCCCCCAGGCAGTTCCTGTGCTTCACAACTCCCTCTATCAATCCTCCTCTGACTGCACCAATAAACCCATTATCAAAATGGTTTGCTGCCAATGTCATCATGATATAAAACTACCCTGTTTAACCAAAATCATTTCCCACATCATCAAAAGGTTGAGAGATTCAGATTCAAGTGTTAGGACTGCTTGTTGTGACACATATTTTGTTGGGGTTACATTTGAAGGATAGAGTGGGGTTGTTGGTTGAGCCATTATTTGAGGCCATGCAGGCGCCAAACAAAGGTGTGCAATTGGGTGCTGCTATGTATATGGTGAAGATGGTGGAATGTGCTGCAGCAGATAGCGTAATTATGGGGGAATTTCAGAAGCTACGCCCTAGGATTTGATGGTTGTTGAATCGTAAGAATTTCCTGGTCAAGGCCGTGCTTTTGGTGTTTTGAAAAGTTTGTTGCAGGTTTGGGCAATGTCATCCAGTTATTTATGTTTTGGAAGCGTAAAATATTTTCTTTTGGTGAGAAGGTTGATGTTTGATTGAAAGAATTAAAAGGAGATGAGAATTTAGAGTGTGGCATGACGTTTGTTACTTTTTTTTTTTAATTTGGTTTAGGTTCATAATTTATCCTACAAATTGTAGCTCTTGAGAGAGAAAAAGATTGAAAACCTCAACCTGTTGGTGTAAATTCCAAATTGTTGCCATGATAATAAATTAGTTAGCTTTCTCTGATTCCTGCTTATTTCAATTCAGTACTTTTTAAGCTGTTTGAAGTGCCATTCAATGAACTAGCTTACTGGTGTTTATTGAAGCTACTTTAATTGTCTTGAGATTATGAATTAGCATAACTCAAATTAGATAGTTGTAAATTCTAGCGAAAACGAAGCAAAATCCAGGAATTTTATTGAAAGTTGTGTTTTGTTGCAGGTGGGATCAATTGCACCACAAGGCTTGGAACCATTGTTACAAAGCATTCATGACTGCCTCAGGAGTACAGATTGGGCAACTCGTAAGGCTGCAGCTGATGCGTTAACTGCCTTAGCATTGCATTCGAGCAGCTTGATTGCAGATGGAGCTGCTATTTCCACTCTGACTGTGCTTGAGGCTTGTCGTTTTGACAAGGTACCTTATTTGAACTGTTTTCCCACTACATGCTGTTTCTTTGCAGGTTCTTTTTACTGGATTAATGATTACTCTTGGTTATCTCACTATAATAATTTTCAAGATCAATGGGCTTACCTTGGTTTTTATGATTGTATTGTTGAATTCATATTGGATGGTCTGATGCTTTCATTTTATTTAATGTTTCTTGTAACCTTGTCAAGGCTCAAATTAAGTTGCATTTAATGTGCATACTTAAGCGAATGCCGGAACAGTTAAAAGATGAAAAAACCAACAGAGCTCTTATTTTATTTAATGTTTCTTGTAACATTGTTGAGGCTCAAATTAAGTTGCATTTAGTGTGCATAGTTAAGCGAATGCCGGAACTGTTAAAAGATGAAAAAACCAACAGAGCTCCTCCCAAGTTTTGTTTCTCTGGATTTAGAAAAAAATTCTAATTTTTTATTTTGTTAAATTGAGATTGACTTGGAAAAAAAATTGTGGTTACTTAATTTTTATCCTTTTCAAGCATCAAGTGCTCCTCCTCATTTGGTGAAGACAGGCCTTCGTTTTTCTCTTATTAATTTAATTTCATTCCTATAAAATTTTTATTGAATTCATATATGACAGAAGAAAATTCAACAAATCCTATAAAATCTGCATTGAATTTCTGGTATGAAATGTCGAAGCTAATGAAGGATAGGAAGGGCATTTCTGAACTGTTCTACTAGCTGTCACTTAACAAAAATTTATCCTTCTCGTGGTTCTTATATCATTGATTTATGTTGTTGTGTGGTCTTTAGAGTTATATGTTATTATAGTTTTAAGGATGAAAAAGCTTATGCTTTTACTAAAATGCAATGCTTAAGAATAATGGAAAACAGGTTGAAGCTTCTTGTTGCTTCCTTCTGAACTATTATTGGGTCCATTTAATTACCATTTATTGGCATAACAGATAAAACCTGTCAGAGATAGCATGACAGAGGCCTTGCAATTGTGGAAGAAGATTGCTGGGAAAGGAGAAGGTGTCCCTGATGATCAGAAAAGTTCCTCTCAGGGTGAGTATTTCTGTAATATTTTTCTTTCTGTAAATGAAGCTTCAAATATCTCCTTTACTTCTTCACCATTTTCTTTATAATTAATGTTTAGATGGAGAGCGTCATGAGTCTGCAGAGTTGTCAGATAAGAATTCAAATCCTAGTGACAGAAGAAAGGAGTCATTCTCTAGGGATGCATCCAATGGTACTTCTCCAGCCAAAGATTCAGCATTAAAAAGCAAAGGTGGAAGCATTCCTGACAAAGCAGTTGTAATATTGAAAAAGAAAGCTCCTGCCTTAACAGATAAAGAATTAAACCCAGAATTCTTCCAGAAATTTGAAAAAAGAGGTTCTGGTGATTTGCCAGTCGAAGTAATAGTTCCTCGTAGATGTCTCAATTCTTCAAATTCAAACAATGAGGAAGAATCAGAACCAAATGATTCTGAATCAAGGGGAAGGCCAAACCGCATGGGAAACAGCCAATCAGATGATATTCATGGAGCTTTCAACAACAAATTCCGTACCATGGAGAGAGGAGTTACTGGAAAAGATTTAAGAACCAGAGCATTTGATGATGAGAGGCTTGACATAAACCAGAGGGAGTCTTCTGGCAGTCGTGCAGGTTTCTCCAAATCTGATGGTCAATCTGAAGGATCCTTTGTAAATAATAAAGGAAATTGGTTGGCCATCCAGAGACAGTTATTACAGCTGGAGAGACAACAGGCTCATGTCATGAACATGTTGCAGGTCTGCATATTATTTTACATTTAAGGAAATTGTTCTCATGCATGTTTTGTTTTGCTAATGAGATGCTTGATGTTTTAGGACTTCATGGGTGGGTCTCACAACAGCATGGTAACTTTGGAAAACAGAGTTAGGGGTCTTGAGAGAGTTGTTGAAGACCTGGCACATGATTTGACAATATCATCAGGCCGCAGAGGCAATAACTTTGCTATGGGTTTTGAGGGATCTTCTAATAGACCTTCAGGGAAGTATAATAGCTTCTCTGACTACTCTAGTACCAAGTACAATGGGCGGGTCCCTTCTGGGGAAAGGTTTTCCCAATTGGATGTTACAGCTTCAGGCATGAGAGGAAGGGGCTCTCATTGGAGATCCGATGCATCTGATTCTTGGGATTTTCCCACATATGGTGCTTCCAGGAATGGACAGGCTGGTTCAAGGAGAGCTCCAGGTGGTGGTTCTTTGGATGTCAGATCACCTAGATCAGAACATGAAAGTGATCAGTTAGGCAGCAGGAGAGCTTGGGATAAAGGGGCTGGACCTGTTAGGCATGGTGAGGGACCTTCTGCTAGAAGTGTCTGGCAAGCCTCAAAGGATGAAGCTACCTTAGAGGCCATTAGGGTGGCCGGGGAGGACAGTGGGTTAGCTCGGACAGCAAGAGTGGCCATCCCTGAGATGACTGCAGAAGCTTTGGGAGATGATGATTTTGGGCAAGAAAGGAACCCTATCTGGACATCATGGAGTAATGCAATGGATGCCCTCAAAATGGGTGACATGGATACAGCTTTTGCTGAAGTAATTTCCACAGGGGATGATCTCTTGCTTGTGAAGCTTATGGACAGATCAGGTCCTGTGGTTGACCAACTTTCCAATGAGACTGCACGTGAAGTCTTGCATGCTATTGGACAGTTTCTAATGGAGCAGAACTTGTTTGATATATGTCTCTCTTGGATTCAACAGGTATGGGTTTCCCTCCACTGAATATAAATGCGAGTTGCTTCATTTGAGTGATTCCTTGCGCAAACTTGTAGTAATAGGCTAATAGCATAAATAACATGTGGAACGCTCTGTAAGTCAAGAGTATCTGGTTGAGAAATGTTTATAAATTCCCTCTAGAGCTGCTACAGAAAATTGCTTGGAGTGCATAATAAAAACAGTGAAAAAATTAATGCCACACACACCCTCCTCTTCTAGGCGTCATAGAAGGTGCCTATAACCCATTATGTCAGTAAAAAATTGCTGCCACACGCCCACCCTTTTGAATCATGCATTGATAAATAACATATGTTGTGCCTGGGTGTGATGTAATGGAAAAGAGAAAAATGTGTAGCTAATCACATATGGCATCAGGTATGGACTTGTCTTAATGTTTGTTGTTTGGCATTACATCAAACCCACTATAATACCTCATGTCCCCCCGGCTCAATACAAGCTGGGAAAAGGAGATCATATATTTGTCCGATATCTCACTCTGGTTTGATTGTGCTTGTTTTTCAGTTGGCAGAAATTGTGTTAGAAAATGGATCAGATGTCTTTGGCATTCCCATGGAACTGAAGAAAGATCTTTTGTTGAATTTGCATGAAGCTTCTACCTCGATAGAGCCCCCAGAAGACTGGGAAGGTGCGGCACCTGACCAGCTTTTGTTGCAGATGGCATCAGCCTGGGGAATTGAAATACAACAGTTTGAGAAGTAATCAATGGCTGAAGCAGCTATTTTGCGCTAGGATACTGTATTTTCATAAACAAACTGACCGGGGTGATCTGGTTATACGTCCTGAATTTTACGAATTAAATGTAAATTGGAAGACAAGTTTTTCAAACAAACATATGGGTCATATGGATTTAATTCAAGTTCAATGGGGCATTAATGTATGGGTTTGTTCAACCTGAAAATCAATTCATTCTTTTGTGCAGCTGGAAGGATGCTGGTTATGGAGAAACTTCATAGTTCATACACTCACGTGTGTGTGGTTATTGAACAGATAAACAGCTTCACTCACGCGTGTGTGGTTATTGAACAGATAAACAGCTGCAATATTACCATAACTATTTTTCATAACATCCGGGTCAATCTTTTACATGCTTGATGCAATTGCACTAACACTAACTCCTAAACTCACCACTCACTAGAGATTTTACAGGTTGCTTAAAATAGCATCTATATATATAGGACTTCATGCATGTCCATCCTCACCATGCATATGAGATTTGAAGATGCCAACGAAGCAGGACAGAAAAACAGCCTCGCCTATTCATGGCCGAAACAGTGCAAACACATCATGAAATGCAGCAATTTGACTTCATGGTAGCTGACTAGCTTGTATTGAGAACGGCTCATGAAGCAAAATAGTTTCAAGAATGGAATCTGCCTTGACATCGAAAATGTGAACTCTGCTGGAATATCGAACTCCATTCTCAAGGTAGGAGAAACCTCAAAATAACATTTCACAACCCCAATGAGATCCGATTGTCGCAATGGCACCATATACCTACTTGGCGGAATACCAGTTTTGAGCACACTTTGCATCAACAGCTAGGTCCACCTTAAGAAAATTCTTGCCACCAAAGGGCTTGGACATGCAATCGACAACTATGGCCTTGGCAACCTCAGCTGACTCGGTTGGTCCTTCCAAAATCACTTCATCATGAACCTGTGTTTTTTATAATGGCATGCTGTTATGTAATGGCATGAAAAATCCTTGGAAGAAGGTAATTAAACACTAAAATTGAGACAACTTGGTTCAAATCAAAGGTAGAAATTAAGATATAAGTGGATGCAACTTGCAGTCATATGCCAAAACATCAGAGGAAACGAACATCAAATGTTAACAACAAAAATAATATGTACCTGTAAAAGCAGCTTCCATCCAAGTTCCTTCAGACGATTGTTCTTTGATATTTCTAACATTGCACACATAGCAACATCAGCAGCACTACCCTGTAGCAGTCAGCCAAATGAGAGAGAGAGAGAGAGAGAGAGAGAGAGAGAGAGTAGAATTGGGCAAACTTAAGCGCATAAGAAAGAATGAAAGAACCTGCACTGGGGTATTGATAGCAGCCCGCTCAACATGACCTCTTAGAGAAGAGCTAGCATCAGTCAATGAAGGAAAGACACGAGCCCGTCCCAGCAATGTGTGAACACGTCCATCTTCTCTGGCTTCTTTCTTACGAGCTTGTTGCCATTTAAGCACTTCTTTTCTTTCTTTATACCAGAGATTAACAGTTTCCTTTGCTTCTGCCACAGAAACCTGGAAAAATAGATGGTAAAGACCATGCTGTGGATCAACACGACTCAAAGCAAATCAGGACAGATCACTTATTATATTAGGTTTATTGGGTAAAGTTACCTTCCAATCCCTGGAAAGCCCCACTGGAGTCTTTCCATATGCAATTGAAAAGTTAAGCATTTTAGCTTTTCTTCTTTCAGAAGCAAAGGCATCCTGAAATATAAGTTCCCATTCAGTAAAATTAGGTAAGCCAAATTCTATGATTCTACTTCTTAAACATAACACAATGCGCACAAAAATCCTTTAAAGCAGAACACATGCAAAAAAAATCACAAAAAAGATCCCATTGGTTCACTTGAGAAACACATACACAAGCAGGTTCAAAGAATAATTCACAATTCACCTTCAACAGTGGAACTGGGGGTTTATCTTCACCAGGTTGAGGATACCATTCAAGAAGCACATGCTTTTTCTCAATGGCTTCACGAATATGCGGATACATGTTCACAGCTGTCCTTGAATGGAAATCTCCACCAGCTTTGAAAGCATCCAACATGCTCTTACAGTTGGCAAGATGTGCAAGAACCCTAAGTTCCAGCTGCGATATGAAAACATATTTCAATCAACCTTCACATATAGTGATTTATTTATGTATATAACTCAAATGCTTACTTGCCCATAATCAGCAACAATAAGTGAATTTCCAGGTGCAGCTATAAATGCCTGACGGATCTTGTACCGATCTTTCTCTAAAGCAGGCTGATTCTGATTTATGGAAGAGAAGATGTCAGCACTCTTTAATCTCTATTGCGTCCAGAAACAAAGTAAAATCCAAGCTTCTTTTCTTGTCTTAAAATTTTGTACTATCAACTGATACACTCTTTAATCTATACTGCATATAGAAAGAAAGATACATTCAAGTTTCTTTTCATCTTAAAATTTTGTAAAATTAACTGATAAACGACCATGAAAACTCAACCATTGTGTATCCTAACAACACTCCCAACCATCCTACAAAATGCCTTGGTAATTGACACCCATGAAAAATAAAAATCAGAGCTTTTGCTGTCGAGATAGGAATAGTGGATGATATATATATATATATAAAGTTAAAGGGCTCATGTCAACAATAGATTTCATAGTGGTTATGAATTATGATTAGCTGAAGCAGAAAAACAAAGCACACATATTCGACAGAAGCAGCAAACATAATATAGACTGACAATATGTCATGTTCCATTCAGCACATAAGAATGAGAAGAATTTCATCTAAAGCACAAAGGCATCTTTGATGGAACATTGATTGCATTAATTCAGAAGTTCATTCTAAGATGTTAAAAAAAGAGGTGAAAAAACCTGCAAATTTGGTCTCCTAGCTGATAAGCGCCCAGTTTCTGTGTTGATATTCAGAGAACAATGAACACGCCCACTCTTGCCTGATAGGTTATTGCTCTGTGGTAGAAAGACAATGATATCAGTACGAACTACCATGAAGATTTGGAGGTATAACAAAAAAGCATGGACAGGAAACGAGCTTAAACGAAGCACTGAAATCAAAATGTTACAGTATCATTAGAAGAAAACAGCAACCATCATCATTGTTGTCATTATTGGGATTGGGGGGTCTGGGAAGACTAGCAATGGATCTTAAAGTTCCAGTTTTTTATTTGTCAATTATTTTGCTTGAACCACAGAGTGGTTTAGGCAGACAACCTGATGCCCCTAAGGATTTAACTTTGACTTTAGGTGAATGTTTAAGAAATATTAATGTCTGAGCTTTAATTATGTGGGAAGCTAGATGTGTCCTTAAAGGAGCTTGATTGAGTTTTCTGAAGATTAAATGGTTGGATTGACCTAGATGTGTCCTTCTAGGAAAAACTTTAATTATGTGGGAAGCTGATTTCAGTATCTGCAGAGGTTGTCTTCTAGTTAGTAGAGTTAGGGGGCAATTATGTTTTACAGATTGTTGGAAAATTTCAATAGTAGGGGGAAACTGTGTGTAAGTTTATGATATAGGAATCCCTATTAGGAATCTTATTCCCCTTATAAGAAGAAATAACTCAAGTCTATAAATGTGCTTGTCGACTGTCAATTTCAGTATGAGGTTTACCATGACTACAGTGCAGTCCACTGCATCACAAAATCATAGCCGCCCCCCCCCCAAAAAAAAAAAAAAAAGCCCCTCTTTTTTTACAGCTTTACAAAAATCTCAAACCATGTTTCCATTGAACAAATATCTCAAACCACAACACCTCAATGCCCCCAATACACTTGAGGCAACCGCAACAGCACAGCACTATAAATGCATCTAATCAGGCATGTTAAACAAAAGGATCAAAGGGAATGGCATCTAAAAATAGCAGTAAAAATCACCTGCAGGGGGAGGATGAAGTTGGATATCAAAGAATCAATGGAGCAAAGTTCACATAAAGAAGAAATAGCCTGGCAAGCCTCAATCCCTTCTTCTGGCGTTTGAAACCTGCGCAGATTTCCTGCATGACCAGATTCATCTTCATTCTCAACAACAGATAACTCTTTTGATTCCAAATCTTCATCTGTCATTGTCTCAGAATCATCAAAGACAACATCATCTAACTGCAAGCCAGCAGCATCATTGACAACATATTCTGAAGAAATCTTCCTGGCCAAGCTCTTCAAAGAATCTCCGCTGACTGATGGCCAACCAGAAGCTGTATACGTCTCAACAGGCAGATCAACTCTAATGCTACATAACTTGATGTCGCGAAATTTTGTGGGAGTCTTCTTTCCTTCTTCAATCACTTTATCAACATTTGGGACTTTGAATGTTTTAACTTCGGGAAGAGTAACGAGTGGATCCTTGCTGCAACGGAAAGCAATTAAAACAAATAAGGTGTTTTTTCCCATCCACCCCAGTTTGGCTTAGATCAGATTCAGTACTAACTAGAGTGCCATGTCACTGCAATTCAACAGTAGGCAGAAGCTTTTCAATGCAAGAGAACTTAATTTACAGAATTCAAGAATTCCATGGTACAAATACTGTTGTTCAAATTGCTAGGAAATTAACATTTAGGAGAATGTGTTCCCTTCCCAGGACAGGACTCAAATTTATACTTGGAAAGTATAGTCACTGAGAAGACTAATTGATGACACAAACATTTTGATATTTTTAGTTGAAGGACAAACAACTAAATGTAAGTACCTCCAGAAGAATTTAACCTTTACCTGTTACAAATACCACCAAAAAGTAGTTGGCGCAGTTGAGTATCACTTCCCACATTCATGTACTTGGCATCAGGGCAATACCTAGAGGCCCAATTGCGAAATCTACTAGCAGCAACCTCCTGTTCTGCTTTGGCCACCTTCTCCATCACAGCAAGATATGCTCGATCAACCAGCATGCCCTCACTTTCCATTCTAACTAGAATCTCCCCAAATGGTTGCCAATATTCCAGGTAGAACTCAAACATAGATTTTTTAAGAACCGGCTTTCCATCCATATTCCATGGCATTTTAGATAGTTGGCTTTCCAAGCTTTTATAAAGCTGCAAAGTGCTTATTGCATCTAGAGCAGAATAACAGATCCATGGTTCTCGCGCTTCTCTTTGTAGCTCTTCAACAGGGGCAATGGTGGTCAATTTGCCTTCAGATCCATCTTTTTTCACCTTTTGCTTGCCAAAGATTTTTTTCATTGATACTTTACCAATCAACTCTTTATAGCATGGTTCTGCCCCGCACATGACCTTTTGGTCACCTGTAAGAGCTTCAAGAGAATATCCACCATTTATTCTTCTTGATGAATCCCATAATCGTGCCATGTGCATTGTATCAGCATGAAAACCAGAAACAGAAAACCCGTAGTTCTCGATGACGTGGTTATCAAAGCTGTAGTTGTGCCACACCTGCAGAAAGGATAGGCAACTTTAACGTTGGTCCAAATTGTATTCATGGACTGTGCATGCAGCCTAGTCATTGAAGCAAATGTAAGACAAGGCATGAACAGTTGAATTCTCTACAGGATAGACAAGGCTGGACTGTTTAATGTAGTCGACACCGATGGTTACTTTACAAGGAAAAGGAAGGAGTTGATGCCTCTCACTGCTAAATACCAGTATTAAAGCATATAAGATCTAACTTTAAGCTTAGCTAACAGCACAAGCCATTTCCAAAGGAGGGAAACAATGTCAGAGTCCAAGTCTTTGCCGAAACCAAATATATACAAAGGTCTAAAGTAAATGCAACATCAAGCTTATACACATCAGCAACCTCACAATGCTGATATTACATCAAACATCTAAATGATCATAGTGCTATTTTAAAGAAGCTGCAGATGAAGAGAGCATCAACAAATCAAAACTGACAAAATTTACCTTTTTTATGTCCGGGGATTCAAAAAATGGAGCAAATTCATGCAAAAGATCCCAGCCGCCACCATCAAGAACATCTACCCAGATACAAGATTTCCCATTTCCAAAATCTGCCTCCGGTCCAGAATAAATACTAAAGCATGTTATCTCTCCATGGTCAATGGGTGTTTCCTCTTTCACATCAATCTTGGCTACCTATAAAGATACTATGATCAGATATTTGAAGTATCTACATAGGTGGGATTTCCAAGAAATGGATAGACATGCATATCCTTTAAAATTCATGGACATAGAAAATGTGATGAGGAATCCACGAGAATCACAAATGATAAATTTCAAATATCATAATATTGTAAGATTAAGTTCGACATTCATAGCAGGGCCATCTAGGACCATTCCTTAAATGTAAAGCTGAAAGCTAAAAAACAGAGAAAATTTAGCTTTAAGTAAACCAAATAGATATTCAAAATATGCATGCGATGCCTATCTCTGCATAGCTAGGTGATATCCTGTTTTTATTAAACATGTTTCTGCAGTGTTTGTGTTTAGAATGAAGGTTAATTTTACAGAAGTCTTAAGAAACTTTTACCTCTCTTGGATTTTTTAGCTTTAATGCAACTCAAACATCTTGCTTCTGAATGGAACTTCAATATGAAGCCTGAGTAATATTCTGTTTGGGCTTAGAATTTGGTTTAATTTCTTAATGTTTGCAAGAAATTTGAGCATTTTTAAACTCATCCGATTTCCAGCCTTCCAAAACCTAGAAATTGTCCCATTTAAACCATAATCACTGCATGATCAACTTCAAAGATTAACCTTTAACTAACATTACTTCTTACAATACAAATCTTGCACTGTGAAACAGCTTCATATTTATGTATCTTGAGTTGATTAGCTCATGCAACTTTGGTCTTAGTTTGTTGCCATTGAATCATCAAAGATATTTAAGTTTTTATGTCCATTCCTACAGTCTACACTGGCATGCCTAGCTTTTATGTCCATGCCTACATCTGCTTAAGGCATTCCTACAGTCTACACTGGCATGCCTATCTACTATATGAGCAATTGCATCTGAAAGGAAAATAATAAACAGAATTTATTACGATTTAAGTGCATACCTCAGTATCGCAAGCATGGATAAGATGCCTATACTGATTTGTAAGCTTACTAACAACCTCCCTTGCCATGGAAGCATTATCAACAACCAGAACCCTCTCATAAATATTAGTAAGCCTGTCATGAATGCCAGGCTTATGAGGTCTTCCATGGGTCTGGGCTTTATCTGTTGAACCAGTACCTGTGTGTCCAAGTTCTTTAGACTCGAACTGTTTCTTATTCTTCATTCTCTGCATGAATGATTCATTATTCAACACATCCTCTTTTAAAATGTCATTCGAAGATAAACCATTTGGCCTTTTGTTATCAATCAGCTGACCAACATCCCTGGAAATTAATTGTTTCTGACTCTTTGGTTTATCTTGTATTCTGATTGCATTAATATCCATCTTTTCATATTTAAATGAATAAGGGCTACAATCATATTCACGTTTCTGCTTGAACAGTTCAATACTTTTTTGCTTCCACAAGGCTCTAGTACCATCACATGGGATCGTAGTGACCTCAAAACCTTGAGGGGTATAAATTCTTGGAACTACCATCCTCTTTTCACCTCTCCTTTGCATGCCATCAATTACTCGCAATGGGATTTCCCCCAAAAACCTAACAAATACAGTGAACAGAAATTAAAGCATCAGAACCGAAATTCCATTAAGAAAGAGTAAAAAAAACATGGACCAACTTTTTTAGTCAAGACCAATCAAATTGCTTCCAAATGCAACACTAGGGAATTCATCTCACTAACCAATTTGATCAGTCTGGTCTACATAAACCAAATCAATACAACAATTTCTTTTTAAAAACAACAAACCCCTAATGATTGCTCAAAAATTGTTGGAACACCCCGGAAGAAAAAATGAACCTTTATATCGTCATAGTCAAGCAAGCCATTGAGGGAGCAACATGAACCGAAAAAAATGTGAGTATCGACTAAACTGAGAAGCCTAAAAATATCACATTGTTCATTACAAAACAGAAAATCCCATTAACATAACTCTTCACTGCACTGCACTCAAAACCCAAACAAATAAAAAATAAAAAATAAAACTGGGTATTAAATAATTTCCAAAACTAAAAAATAAGGTAGAAAAACTAATAAATCAACAGGTTAAGGCCTTAACATTAATAGCAAAGGAGAAGAAACCTGTGAAGAGCAACGGAGAAAGGCCTTGAAGAAGCAGCTCTGGAGGCAAAGCAAGGACACGAGCGAGATAGGTTGAAATAAGAAGGGCATAATGGCCTAAAGGGACTAATAGGAGTGGTGGTGCAGGTGACCCCCATAGCTAAAACCTCAGCAAACCTCCCCAGCTTAGCAGCTCTACTTCTGCCGTATAAAAGAACCGTCTAGCATGGGTTATAGTGGCATATATGTAAATATATCGAGCCTTGGGTGGGGTTTGTGTTATCTGAGGTGGATTGCAAGTGGGACTGTGAAAGAAGCAGAGGCAGAGGCCATAAGCACAGAGAGACAAAGAGGAAGAGGGAAGGCCAGGAGGTCTAAAACCCTTGCGTTGTTCGTTTTTTTTTTTTTTTGGTAGAAAGCTCCGTTTTATTTTTTTATGGCTGCCAAATATTTGTCTTTGTGTATCATAATATTTCAATATTATTATTATTTTTTGTTTTGGAATTAAGGCTTGGAAATTTTTTATTTGCAGATATGCCATTTAATGGGGGTGTATGGAGAATATGGTGGTCTAGCAATGCAGTGGATACTTATCTTATTTCTTATTCTTTTGGGAAAAATCAGAGTTCGTTCGAGGTTATCAGATTCCAATTATATTTGTTTTAAATTGTTTTAAGGTATTGATATAAAAAATTAAATTTTTTTATGTATTTTTTAAAAAAAATTACAAAAATAATTAATATTACTATAAAAAATAATATTTTACTATATTATATGACTTGCTTTTAGAATTTAAGTCATGAGTTAAGTTAAACAGAAATATCAGTTGGTTTGTTTTTAAAATATAAATCATGAGTTAAATTAAATAGAAATATTAGTTGACTCAAAATAATTTAAAATAATTTTATTTTAAGATAATTTTAAAAAAATATTATAATGTTATCATTTGAAAAAAATTAAAATTAAACCATATTAAATTTTAAATGGACTCATCAATTATCTACATTAAATCAAATTAATTTCCATCTATTTTTTAAACTTAATAATCAAGTTCCGAGCTTACAAACTAAGCCAAAGTAGGCAAGTTTAATAAGATTGACAACAAAATGAGATATTAGTCTAAAATTAGTATTTGAAGAGAGAATTACAATTAGTGGAGGTAGATTGTGTTTTGCATGAAATAATTTTGAAAGTTGACCCAATCGTAAGTGAATTATATCTTGAAGATCGTTCAAAGGATATGTTATGAGAAATGTTTTTTTATTTTTGGTATGTTTAGGCACGTAGTTGAAATTATATTTTTTTAAATTTTAATTTATTTTATTATTTTAATCTATTAATTTAAAAAAAAAATTATTTTAAAGTATTTTTAAGAAGTTGTTTGAGAATACTGTATAAATCGCGTTTCTAAAAAATTTAAATTTTTTGTATATTTTGAATCTTTTTGATATGCTAATTTTAAAAGTGATTTTTTTAAAATAAAAAAATATTATTTTGATGTATCTTATTACAAAAAATATTTTAAAAAACAACTACAATTATATTCTCAAATAGACACTAAACACTCTCCAATAGACACTAAATAAAACGTATTTTAAACCATAATTATTATGGCAATCCCAAACAAACTTATAATAAAAAAAATAACCTAAGTTAATTTAATTTAATTAATCTTCTGATACTTTCAAGTGATAAATAACAATATCAACTTCATGAAATATAATATTTTTTTTCATATTTTAACCAAAACACAATTGTTGTTTAGGGTTTTTTTTTTTTATTCTAAAGCTACATTGTTTTTGTTTTAAAATAACTTCAAACAATCAGCCCACAACTCGGGCTTTGTACCGTGTTAAACCTTGTACTGGGTTTGATAACCAGAGAAAACGAAAAACACCTGACAAAATTTAGAAAACTACAAAACCAACAAAATTTGGCAGGAAACCAGAACTAAGGGGTGGAAGAAATAAAAGTAATTAAATGGAAAATGAAATTTGAGTAATGGTAAAAGGAGTGCTTGATAGACCCATGAAACCATTTTGATCTCAATCACTATCAGGAGAAGGTGTCTTGATATGGTCATCGTCCACCGCCCTCTCTTCAGGAGCATCATTTACTGCTAAAAATTTAAGTGCTGTTACAACATCAGCCATTAAGGGCCTTGTAAGAGCTTCCTCTTGGAGACACATGGCTGCAACCGCAAGTGCTTGATACAGGCCTCTTAGGGGATAGTTTCCTTTTAGCAAAGGGTCTGCCATTAATGCAAGCTTTTTTTTATCTTTAAATAATGGTGTTGCCTGCAAAGAGAAATGTAGTCAAGTCAGGGCTTAAGTTGTTCGGTTCTAGCAGTCGAATGTTTGTCGTTAAGTGTTTCAGGATCAGGAAAACAATAATGGAAAGTTATGCCAGTAGTCTATGCCATTATCGATGAAATTTCGTCAGAGGAAGTATTTGTGCAAGATACAGAAAAATGAATTGGAGAATAAAAAGTTTCTGCACATACCCAGGAAACTAAATTCTTTTCCCCAGCTGGTCTTGAACTGTCGATGACTCGTCTTCCAGTGATCATCTCCAAAAACACGACTCCAAAGCTGTAAACATCGGATTTCGCTGTCAACTGTCCTGTCAAAGCATATTCAGGTGCACAGTAGCCATAAGTCCCCATCACCCTGGTGGATACATGTGTCTTGTCCCCGGTCGGTCCAAGCTTTGCCAGCCCGAAATCTGAGAGCTTTGGGTTGAAATTCTCGTCTAATAACACGTTTGATGCTTTGAAGTCACGGTATATTACTGGAGGATCTGCTGATTCATGCAAGTATTCAAGGCCTCTTGCAGCCCCTTCTGCTATTTTAATCCTAGTATTCCAATCCAACGGATTTTTATCTGGGGTCAAATCTGAAAGAAAAATCCAGCTGAGTAGTGTAAAGTAAACTAGCAAGAAACAGGAACCTAATCTCTGACAATGATGGAAATGCTGCACCACAGGAACCGAATCTGTTTCAACCTGTAATCATCTATGCAATGAACTCTATCCTGTATGGAAAAAGATCAGTATGTCCGAATGAAGTTGCTATTTTAATTCTAGTATTCCAATCCAATGGATTTTTATCTGGGGTTAAATTTGAAAGAAAAATCCAGCTGAGTAGTGTGAACTAGCAAGAAACAGGAACCTAATCTCTGACAACGATGGAAATGCTACACTACAGTAACCGAATCTGTTCCAACCTGTGATCATTTATGCAATGAAATCTATCCTGTATGAAAAAAGAGCAGCATGCCAGAGTGAAGTTGCTTCATACATACCAAGAAGGTGATCCTCAAGGGAGCCGTTAACCATGAACTCATATACTAAAATCCTCTGGTCACCATCAGCACAATATCCAACCATGTTGACAAGGTTAGGGTGGTGAAGAAGACTTAACATCAAAATCTCTATAAGAAATTCTCTGTTTCCTTGAAATCCATTCCTGTCTAGTTGCTTAACAGCGACAACCTAAATTGAAATAAAAACAACATCAGAGCTTCTTTTTTTGGCTTGGAAGTTAAAAGCAATGGAAGACATTTAACGTCATACAGCAAGAGTAGTACTTGGTTCGTTTTTTCAATCAGCCCTTTGTATACCCTCCCAAAACCGCCTTCGCCTATCAGGTTTTCATTGTTGAAGTTCGTGGTTGCAGTAGCCAACTCTCGGCATGTGAAAATACCAGCAGATATATTGCCCTTTCCAATTTTCTTGATTTCTTCATTTATGAACCTTTTTCTGCTGCTATCTGTGGAGAAATTATGCTCAATTTAAATTAGACTCTTTGAAGTTGTGTTCAAAATATAAATATTCTTGTAACTAACTTATCACAAGTTGGAGAGTTAAGCAAAATGTCCTGATTCGCTAATGCCAAAAGATTACATGAACCATAGTAGTTAATGTCTGAGTATGAATTAGTGACAAAATATTAAAAACAAGTATGCCTAATTATAACATCTTTGCTAATGTCTTCAATAAATGAAAATTACTTTCCAAAGAAACTAAAGAGGACTATTTTATCAAGGAAACATTGCTGATGAATTTACAATATGGGAACACAGCAATTTGGCAAAGAAAAACACATATGAATGCAGTGTCGCCAAGCATGGAACTTGGCATGCCATTTTCAATTTTTCATTTTAGTCTCCTGTGAAAGAAAAATGTGATTTTCACTACTGGGACAGGCTATATCAGGAGCACAACACAAAGCACATAAGAACACCATCCAAAGGGGATGAACTGTGCCTGTATAAATGTGGATTGACAGCAATCAGATCTAGGCTGTGGGATAGACAAATTACCAGTCTTCTAAATTATGATGAAGAATTCATGGTTTCTTGAACTCTAAGAATCGATCGTTAGAACAAAACAGCTTACCTGTCTTGAATGAAATGTTAGCATACGAGGCTAAAGTCTCGGCATCACGGTATTCCTTGATGCTTTTTTTCAATGCCTTTCTCCCTAATCTTTCCTTTGACATGCAGCATTCAAAGCAACCCATCTGGGCTCCCAGCCAGAATAAAAACCCGAAAGGAATTCTTAGAAAGATAGTCAGCACAGGGAGCTGTTGATACCAATCTCAAAATCTAAGCCTAAATGCACAAGAAAATACACGTCTGGTCTTTTCAGGAGACAGGAGATCATGTGTGTCTTCTGTCTATCATTTATATCAAAGCCCTTCGAGGCATTGAAAAGGAAAAAACTTGGTCAAATTTTTACTAATTCTTACGAAAAGACTGGCCATATTTTTTGCATAATAACCTACCTTATTAGCAAAATGGGCGTTTTGACGTGCCTTTCTTTGACTTCATCTCTGTTTGATTCACAAATTTCCTCCAATGTTAGGAGTGCTAGAAGGGATTGTGAGCTATTTTTTCTCGAAGTTTTACTACGGCAAACCATCATGATTTTACCTGTTCATGTTTAATGATGGATCAAATGGATTTTCAAGCATCCTCTCGAATTTACTACTTTTTCAAGGCATTGGTGGCCTAAATGGATACAGTTATACTGTATACGGATCCTCATGTTTAATGTAATGCAATGCAATATAATGTGATCAAATGTTGAACATGATAAAAAATGTAATTGAATGAAATGGGTCTTTGAATGTAACTTTTTTTTTAGAAAAGGTGGCCCACTCACAATGCTGCTGGGCCAAATTTTTTTAGTATAAAAAAAATATATTTAAGTGTTGTTGATATACTTTTACGAAGTAAAAATACTTGAATTATAAATCTAATTGGATTTAAAATGCTATACAGAGTCTAATTTTTATAGTATAGAGTTATGTTTGTCTCTTAAGATTTTTTTTATTAATATAAGTTTTTAGCTTGGATTCTACTTTATCTACATTCTATATATATATACAAATTTTTTATAACTTATTATATTTTCATCTCATTAATACAA